ACGATAGGATACTATTAATTATTGCAGAGTTCATAACACTAATTACTACTTACAGCTAACTATTTATACAGATCACTAATAATAATGGAATTAATTAATAGTATAATAATAGATTGTAACCAGATTACATTCAGAATTCGTTATTTCACATTTATCCAAAATTAATCTCTATTTTCAGCTATACAGAGTGTAATGTTGGCAAAAGTAATTAATTAATGTATATTATTATTATCGTATCATTTACGAATAAGTACTTACAAACTAATAATTTTTTTGAAAATGTTTTACGGATTACATTACATACTAATGTCCACACAAAATGATGACACGACAAACATACTTCAAAAAATATTGTACTTACACAAAGTTCTTTTTAAATGCACTCGAGTTTTAAAATGTATTTACATAAAAAATAAAAAATAAGGAATAAAAATATATATTAAGTCAAAATAAATGAACGTCATTTTTAAATTACGCCGCAAAATAAATAGAAAACAATACAACATTCATTACTTAATGTCAAAAATATACATTCTATATTTTCAAATACTGACATAAACAATTAAATATGAGATCCATCTATACACAAATTGTATTTTACAACTAAATACTATACATGTAATGATAAATTCATTCAACATGATATGTACTAAGATATAATACTGCATTCACGACTATATATAATACACATTTATACCTAATTATAAAGTTCATTAGCGCTTTTCCCCATTAATATAGTCTAACTATATCATAAAACTGTGCTTAAAATGTATAGTTTAGTGGAAGGGAAAGAACTGACACTATTTTTAAACTTATAGTTTGCGATGAACTTAAACTTCGAGTAAAATTATGGGGACTTGCTGTTAAATTCACTTTTTTCTAGTTTTGATAGATTCATGGATTATTATCAGACATAATATCACATGCTGTATTCGGTAAAATAGCAGATATATTAAACTTACCGATGACCTACAACACGTAACATAAGATCACGCCTTTTATATCCGAAGGGTTTGGCAGATGTGCACATTATGACGCTTATTGCCATTGTACAATGTTACTTCCAGACTCTGTGCTACTACTGCGAATTTAAGAAAACCCAGTAATAATCTGCCCGACCAGGGAATTGAACCTTGCCCGCTCGATCAACGAGGCAGTCAGACCGATAATCCATACTTGGTATGTATTCTTATAATTCAGAATATCTAATTTATCATTAGTTCACAAGGTTTTAACTTAGGATATCTACTCTATTTATTATGTTCAGTATTAACAGCACATTTGTCAGAAACAAAGTTCAAACACTCAATTAATGACGCCGCATTAATTCGAACGAACATTTGCGATAGTCATCCTGAAGTGCAATTAGCGACTAAGTTCGTCACAAACTATGAGCCTATTGTATTTATAACCTCAAATAGCTCGACTTTGGTAAAAGGTCTCCACCTTGTTTTATACTCACGCTGACTGGAAGATTTTCATACATTTTAGGACAAAATATTTACATCAGAGGGTCTAGTGTGAGTATGTTTTACGTTAACGCAGTCGACACGTTTATGATGTTAAGTATTCTGATTGGTTTGTTAACTTGCAGCGGGCCAATCAGAGCAATGAACACCATAAACGTGTCGATCGCGTTAACATGAAACAAATTCATACTAGGGTTACTGAACGACGACTAGTGAAATAGTTATTAAGTTTTTGAAAGACCCACAATTTTCGTACTTTGCAAATATGAGTAAACACAGTATTGATGTTAAATGAGGTTTATTGCGAAATTTCAGCTTCAGTACATTGTGATTGGCATGAAATTGAGTTTTGAAAATTGGTCTTTTCCTTCTTTACTGATTGTGTGGAATGATGGATTTTCGTACATGTGGTGTTTTTGTTCTCTTTTCCTTTGTAACTAAGCGAGATTTAACTATATATTAATTTATATTAAGTTACAAAGCTTCTTACAATTTACTGCTGTTCAATATAGTGTCCTATTTTCTTTCTATTAGATGTTATTTTTCAAAGTCGGCCAATAGGTATAATATCCAAAATATTTCAATGAGAGCGTCCATATTTAATTTCAGTACTACTAGGAATTTTGACACAAAAGGACAATAATTGTGTTTTGTCACTTTTATTGATATTAAGTATTTCAGAACATATTTTGTCATTTTATTAGTATCCAGAAAGGAAATTCTCTTACAGCTTTCATTTACCTAATATAATTTCGTTGGAAATTAGATTGTATACAAATTTGGTACAAATGAAATGTAATAGTGTATCTAATTTGTTAGGCTAAGTAATTCTAAGATATAATTTCTTTTTCCTAGTAATGGAATGACATTAGAGTATTAGTAAAATGTATAAAGTATTACCATCGAGTCGATAGCCTAATGGCTCCACCGGGTGATAAGTATTACTTGAACTTTTCTCAATATTGTTTGGAACTGGTGCAAACACTGTAGATTTTAAATGTGTTGCCATACAAACACGTTCGATAAAGGCAGAAGATTTAGTCTTGTATTTATAATACAAAATCGAGTAAATTTGAACCTCTATTCATTGAATCCTAGAAGAGAATAAGTTTCACGTAGAATGCAACGATATTTTCTTTAAATAGGACAGTAGGCTGCAATCAATATAAAGCAATAAGGCTGTATACGACGAAACGAATATCCTGATTTGAGCAATTTCGAGAAATACGAACATTTACCCTCTATGGACTGGAACCTTTGAAGTTGTACTCAATAAAATATTTTTTTCCAACGTCCTTTGAAATAAAAGCTATTTCGTGAGCCAAGTCTCATTGAAATATTTTATAATATATATTTGTTTGTGTTATATTATTTTGTTGGTTATTTTTTATAACATTGACAAATAATGGTAGGTCTTATTAAACTAAAGTAAATTTTAAAATAAATTCTGTTAGTTTATATAAAACATCAAATATATTTTCATTTATTTTGGAATAAGAAATGTAATTATTGGTTATTTTAAATGTAATTTGTTTTTATATATTTTTGAATTTGAATATTAGTAGTAAGAAAGGTCTACCATTATTTGTCTTGATGTATTTTGGAAGCTTAAGGATATTGTAAAGTGCAATCTACATAATACATTTATACAATGACAGTGCAGGTTGATTGTGAATTCACCAAATGACAGGTACTAGGTGTTTCTTGTTTCATAAACATAATTACATCTAATAAAGATCTCTAAGAGATCACATTTTTTATTTCAATAATTTGCATAAATATGTGAATTACATTTTTACTAATCTGTAGCTTAATTTATTATTAAAATATAATGCAATAAATTCTATTATACATTTTGTTTAAATGTGAACAATGATTATTTACACTATAAGTAAGTTCTAATATTTTGATAATATTATACACAATTTGAGATAAAAAGTCGTACTAAAATGTTATTTCGAAAACAATTTACTTTCACCAATAATACTGAGTAACTCAAAAGTTTACAACCCAAGTAAAATTTAATTCTAAGCGGGTAATAATAAAGCAATCAGTCTGAAAGGGCCAGCAAATCGGCCATTAAAATTAAAATTTTATTTCAAAGCTATTCATTTAAATTAACATAAAAATGTAAAAAATGTCTTTAATCTCCAAAACTTTGATTGGAAAACAGAACCGAGAACGGCTTCAATGATTTAAAAGAAGAACGTGCCGGTAAATATTTTAATAATAATTTTACCTCCATTACATTGTATTTTATACTTTCCTAATTCCTAAACATTTTTTTACAAAACATTTTTTACATTTACATTTATTTACAGAAGTATCACAGGAGTTTGCAAATTAATAAAAATGTAAACGGTGGGTAAATATCTTTTATCTTTGACTAGCTGGGTAGAATAAATTAAATGTAAATAATTTGTAAATTGTTTTAAAGAAGTTTGGTACAATTTATAAGTTGTGTTTATGTTATTTGTATGAATATGTTGACTAGAATAGTTTTTAAAATGATAGTTTTTGATACCCTTTGGCAAATATATCTGACTTACTTTTGTATCAATTTTGGAATGGGACCACATTCAGCAGTAGGTACTGTGTTTGTGATGTACATACATAAAACAGCTTGAACATGAACAATGGAGATTTTTCTAAGAAACAGTGAAATATCATTTTCAAGAAACCAAATGTGCCCAATTCTTTTATTTTATTGTAATAACTGAATCAAAAGAAACAAAGCAAATTAGTGAGCCTCGATTTCTTAATTCAAATGTATTTTTTCCTCTACATTTTAATGAAATAAGGCATCGTGTACAACAACGTATTGTTTGTTGCCGACTGTGAGTATGTTCACTGCCAACACTGCAATACGTAACAGCGTATAGTCAGCGGTTCGGTGTGAGATATTAAGATATTATGGAAGAACGATAAACCACGCAATGCAATGCACGCTCACATTAAGCGACTGACAATATATTGGTGTGAACGATGCCTAATACAACGCAGATACCATGTTAGACTTGTAAAAAATGAAACTAATTATGAAAATAATTAGGAAATTTTCTTTAAGAAAAATCTTTTTTTGTATTTTTGTTAACCATTAATTATGCTTTAATTAGGGACAAATCTACAATAATGAAGTTTAGAATTGTAATTGTTTTATTCATTCTACATACTGTGTTCTTATTATTTTATGGAAATGGACTATTTGAGAGTAGCTAGATACAGAATAATATATTTTAATCGCGAAATGTTTACGTATGTTATTAAGTATTTCTTGTGCGGCTTTCATACTTTGTCTCTGTACCCTATAGGTAGGCTGGTGTACAATGCCTGTGGCATTAAGTTTACCAATGCAACTTTTCAGTGTTTATTAAATGTATCTGTGATTTTTATTACAGAGTTTCATACTATAAAATAAATATGACATTATGTAATTGTACTTTGTTACTCCTTTTTTATTATTATTTTTTTATTGAAATTAGTTCACTGTGACGATTATTATGTTCAAGTAATTGTTATTGAGAACAGGCTAGGAAGAAAACAAACAAAAACTGTTCTACTACAAGCTACGAGACTATATTATGAAATGCTTTTCTTTAATTAAGTAGCATTGTATCTCTTTAATACATTATCTCTATTACACTGCTATATAAATATTTTTTACACGATAATGATATGAATGTTTTTGAACATGCGAATGTAATGATAGACATAAAATGCTATGACACGTAACTATTCTAATTCAATGGCTTCGAAGCGCCAATATTAATAAACCTTCGCAAGATTTATCTTAATAATGTTTTCATACATTAATATCACAATTCACACAAAAGACGGCGCATTTTTCAAGACTTATATAATTTTAAACATGCATCTCAGAACTCTCAAGATGTCTTTACCCGACGAGTGTCGATCAACGACTGACCAAATCCGCCATTAGAGGTGGTAAAGCAAAATAAATTGATGTCAAGCGCGCCGCTTGCGTTCCTTATAGAGACGGCCTTTTGTATGCATTGTGCAAATACATTTTTTATCCCATACCAGTCTTCGGGCGTTCAAACCACGTCGCTTTTGTCCAGCAGCCCGTTGTTGCTGTTGCCGTCTTCTTGTCAAATGTGGTACTCTCTGAGTGGTCGAACTGACTCGGCTGATGACCTTGGAGTAGGATCTACACCTGATAAGCCAAGAGACCCGCTCCGGCGTACCACTAAAGTCTTAGTACCGTAGTCAGTTACGAAGTTATCATTCCTCGTTGGTGTGTTGGCCCTAACACTTTGGTAGCCACAACACGGTGGGTACCTAGACGTCAATATCTTCTTGAATGCTTCCCGAAATTCTGTGTTGAATATCGAGTATATTATAGGGTTGAACGCCGAGTTTGAGTATCCGAGCCACGTCAGGATTTTGAACGCCAGATCTGTAACAAATTGTTTCAATTAGTTTTTTTTTGAGGGGGGAAATGCATGACTTCTACCGCCCGGGTGAGGCGAGAGGGAGTGTCAGACTCTTACTGACTAAAAACCACCCCGTTCTTACTCCTACACCTTGAGCCGGAGTCCCGGTAACCTGTTAAGTCTTCCGCGGCTTCGTATCGGTATCAGCCCTGTTGGGCACCATCTGTGGTGGTCTGATGGCTCCTTGAGGCGCGCGCGGAACGCGACGCGCCATACGCTCGGGCCTGGTTCTGGTCGGGCGGCGAGTCACCCGTACTCGCCGTTTTTCTGACCGTATTAGACTTTTCTAGACTACCACAAACATTTCTAGAATAAAATCAGTAAAATCGGTTCAGTCGTTTTCTACTTTTAGCGGGACTAACGAACGGAAATTCATTTTATTATAACGATTATTTTCCGTCATTTAAACATGTAGGTACCTAATTATTTAACTTGTTCCTATTTAAGCAAATAAATAAATCTAAACCGAATATATAACCAGTTAATAAAAATTTACAAAGTCTCACTATACTTCAACATGAATTTTAAGTGTCTGACAAAGTCTATTAAACTTGCTTTCAAAGTTTCGTGTATCATTTTAGGTACATGCCAATAAAGCTGGGGATACATTGAGAACAAAATGAAAGTTCCAACCACGCGATCGTGTCGTTGAAGTGGTGGACTTGATTCTAAATCTCTAGTAACATTGTATCGTCAGTAGTCAATAAAAACACAAATTAAGCGATGTTTCGTTAACCCTGGAAATAATTGTAATTGATCTTTATTCATATCTGTATTCGACTACCTCGTTGGCCAAGTGGTCGCAAGTGTGACTGTATATGGTAATTTGCCCATCCTCCACCATCATCATATTACATGGGACTCATAACATAAATAGTAAAAATTTTATGTTTTTTTTTTATGAAATAGGCGTCAAACCAGCAGACGAATCACCTGATGGTAAGCGATCAGAGCCGCCCATGGACACCTGCAACACCAGAGCAGTCACAGGTGCATTAGCGGCCTTTTGAAAAGGAACACGCTCTAGGTGTATTACATTGTATAGTTGAATTAGGTGCCGTAATGTGCACCCTCTGCCTACCCTTTCGAGAATAAAAGGCGTGACCTAATGTTCTTTATTCAAAATCTTTGTATCGATCTAAAGTTAAACAGAAAATCTGCACAACTAAGATTTCCACCGTAAGTCTCACGACTTTGTCTCACGTCACTATCGGCGTACCTACCGGTGCGATATTAACTTATAAGACCTGTCAAGTGCTCTCTTTCTTTCTCATGTCGCTGATATGTGTCATATAAAATTTGTATCCCGGTGTGCCCCGGCTTAACACTTTAACATTGTTATCGAAAAAGCCGAAGTACAAAGCCGTTGTTGAAGTTTTAAAAGGATAAAAGTCGACATGACGATGAAACTTGATGTATTGAATTTGAGAATTGATTTTGATTACACCTAATGTTTTTATAATATTAATCGTGAGACATACTAAATTAAGTAAATCAGTGAGCTGCGCGACGTCGCCGCAACCGCGACTGTGGTTCGAAACTAGTAGAGCTTTTCTCAGTATATTCACGTGAGTAACCCGAGTTTTTACTTAATACACCTAATGTACTCGTATGGCAAAACTAAGGACATTCATTTTTACGATTGATTTTAGAATTACAAGTGCTGATGGCAAAGCGTACATTCATATCATCAGCAGTTTTATTTGCAGTAAGGGATTGGTTTTTCGACAAGGTGAAGTATCAGTTTTTACTCATCATGAAGTCTTGTGGCAAGTGTATTGCAATAGGTTTAGTATTACATTCAATTTTAATATGTGTGTCTTTATCTACATGACTAGAATAAAAGAAACATTAATATTTAAACTGTCAAACACCAAGCGGTCACCGGTGACCGCAACCTATTGTTCTTTAATTGTGTCTATAATGACGGTGCTCGACGAGTTAAATCCATAATCGAAAGTATGAATTTGAAATGTGTATTACTGAAAAATAAGCTTTATGGCAAAACAGTAAAGTATCGATTCGTGAATCTAACGAGTCTAGTTACTAATCCTAAAATATCGTAACACAAACTAATACATTTATTAATCAAATCATCAGCGAATGTGCTTTGGATAAACATAGGTACCTAATATTTAATTCGCAGAATTTGTGTTCTAATTCAACACGTACCGAATTTGGCATCGAATACTAATATTTTGCATGAATTTATTAACGCTAATCAAATGTTTGAGGTTACGTATCAGTAATATTATACCATAAATCTATACTTATAATAAATCTGTAGAGAGGTCAATTCTGTACATAAAATATATTTAAAAAATTACTATCAAGGGGTGGTTAGGGATCGCTTCTGATGCCAAAAATGCAATCAGTAAAATTTTTGTCTGTCTGTCTGTCTGTCTGTATGTTCGCTATGGAAACAAAAACTACTCGACGGATTTTAACGAAATTTGGCACAATTTTTCTTCATATTCTTGGGCAGGTTATAGTATACTTTTCATTACGCTACGATCAATAGGAGCAGAGCAGTGAAGGGAAATATTGGGAAACCGGGAGAAGTTACTCCATTACACCGGAATGAAATTCGGAATAGAGGTAGAGTATGGTCTGAAGTAATAAATACATTGGCATTTTCCTCCTGGGATGGCGGGCGAAGCCGCTGGCAGAAGCTAGTTGTTAAATATAATTGTTATTCGGGAACGAAATACAAGGAAAACGAGTAAAGGCTATTCTAATACTGTTCTATTACATCTTCTCTTTTTAAAAATTCGCGGGCTCAGCCACGCTTCATAGATAAACTATCACCACAGATTATACTATAACCACAGATACACAACATAAACTGATTATTTTGGTGATATTAGCTTTCTATTCGTAGACTGGAATTTCGTTGTGGGAACCAGTGAATAAATGAATAAGCTTTTAGTAACTTTCTCGTTGGGCAGTTTTAAACTGTCAAACACCACGAGGACACCGTTGACGGTACTCAACTAGTTAATTTTTTGTCCGACTCGAGAATCGAACCCGAGACCCCTTGTTCGGCTGTCAGACTTGCGGCCATTTCACTAACCAGACCACTTAAAACGATATCCAAAACCTTTTATCCAAGGAGCTATCTTTAGTTTAGTCAAACATAAAGGCTAAAATTGAAGACCACAACAAAATAAAACTGAGGAAATTTATACGGTACATATAAAATAAATCCCATTCAAGTCCGCTACTTAGCCGCAAAAAGGTTAATCTTAAAGGTGACTGAAAAGCTTTTTAAAAAACAAAAAAACAAGTTAATTATACTCATTAGGCACTTCATTAATACAGTAATTAGTTAACAAAAGTTTTAACTAGATGTACACGTTGTTGCTCGTCGTATTACAAGAATTTGTGTTCCAACTTTAAATAAATGACTTCGTGAAAAATTGCGGACGTTCTCATTTCAAGTTTTTTATTTTTATTATGGCGGTAACACTCTTTTTTGTTGTTGGTTGGCAGTATTTTATGATGTGCAAATGAGGTTTTATTTTATGTGTCCTTGTTTTTGAGGGCATCGATATAAGTAGATTACTAAAGTCCGATGTGAATGTTTTGTACCTACTTGTTAAAGATGGAGGATACACCCACATTTGGCCAGAATGCAACATGATTAGCCCCATTATAATTACCGCATGAGCCTAAAGTTCAACATTAAATATGGTTCCTATACCTATTGTATTATTACCGAAAATATAAAATTAAATAGACAATGAAGAAACGATTTGCCAAAATCTCCACTTTGCATAGTTTCAACAAAAAATGAAACCACCTATACCAGTCTCTTAGTGGCTAGTTCTAGTTTGTGGGCATGCTCGATTTTATGAGCATCTGTAAGGATATACCAGTTATGTCTTAACAAGCATAAAATATAAACAGATTTCATAATATGAGCATATACTATTCACGAACGTTTAATTAAATGAACTTATCTGAACGTTTATATACCGAGCCACGATGTATTATGAACTGCTTTAAAAAGAATCGTGTCATGAAATTAATATTTAAATAGAGGAACGGTTTATTATGTTATTTCAAAAGGATTTGTTTAATGAAAATGCAGGTGAACCAGTTTGTACGAGTACTTTCTTTGAAATTGGTAGAGAGTTTGGGGAGTTTCCATTCAGTTTTTCTTTGTATTGTTTTAAAACTCTTTAATGCTTTGCTTAACAAAGAAAGTTCTGCACAGCGTTTTGGACGTTTGACAAAAATAAGTAAAAGATATACCTACCATTTGAATTAAGAACCTTTTTTATTTGAAGTCGGTTCAAAATTTACCAAATGCTCAATGAACTACTTTTCCAAATTATTTTTGGGTCAGCTCCTAAACCTGTATAGTTATGGTTTGTAATTAATAACCAGAGCCAGTCACATTCGCGCTGCTTTAACGAAATATTTGGAGCTATCATTATTGCTAAAATTTAAAACAATATCTGACACCCCTACCACTTATTCTCACCCAAAACAAAACTCATAAAAAACTCACCTGGTATACACGTTTTACAGAACGCAGCGACGATATTAACACAGAAGAATGGCACCCAGCATAGGAGGAAGACTCCCATAATGATGCCGACGGTGATGGCCGCTTTATGGTCAGACACATGGTAGGGGGACGAATGTACGTGTGTATGGACCCGCGTTCGCACCGACTTCGTCCGGTTGTCCGGCATTTGAACCGTTCGAGTTACGGCCCGGATAGACTTCACGTGCTTCTGGGCGTAGCAGTATAGCCTGTGGAAGAAGATAGAGTTAATAAAAAATACTTCTTTAAACTTCTCCCTTTACTTTCGTTTTGTAGTTCATAAATTTTTTTGCTATAAAAGTTAATAGATTTTTTTTTAATGCTAGGATGTTGTCCTGTGCCTGCTGTGTTGCGTGAAACCGCGAGATAATCTAAAGTGAGAGTTAACTACGTGTAGATCATTCAAATATTAAAAAGTTCGGAACAGGAATTGAGTCCACTGATTTTATAACCTAGCAGTTGTATTGTCAAGACACTACTCATAAAGTCATGGAGAACAAACGGTTCGTACATCGAGTTAAAGTATAATACGATGCCTTGAATGTATAGAAAATAGTCTTAGATTTTACTGAATACTCCTAAGGGATAGAACAATCGTTAGAATTTTTATTCATAACAAGAAATTGAAATATAAACCTTCTCTCTTTATACATATACGTCAATAAATTCTTTGAACGAAATTAAATATTTAATACTCCATTTGCAATAAAAACTAGATCGAAATATATTTCAATGGTCGTTCACATTATTTATTAAAAAAAGTAATAACTATTTATTTTAGTCAAAGTCAGACGAGTTTACAACTCCCTAAGGAACGATGAATTTATTATTAGTGCACTAAAAATGTACTAAAATTGGGCACTTAATGTTCAAAAGAAACTACAATATTTATTTGTTAGTATTTGTCCAGCGACTGCCTCGTTGGTCTCGGGTTCGATTTCTGGGTCGTGCAAAGTTAACTGGGTTCTAAAAAAAAATCTAAGTAGTAGTCTGGAATAATTGTGCCCGGTATATGGCAATAGGCTCGCCCCTATATTACATGAGATTTATAACATAAATAGTGAAAAGTGGGTGTTACATTGTACAGTGGCATTAATTGCCATAATGTACACCTCTGCCTATCCCTTCGTGGATAAAAGGCGTGATGATATGTTATATTATGTTGTCCAGCGATTAGTTTTTGAAAATGACTTTTTAGGAATCGTTAATTTTTTTTTGCTTAAACTATTTAAGTTTGGTTAGTTAAGTGGTTTCGCATACGAAAAATGAACAATGCATTTATTTGGCATAGACCAATAAACTCTTCTTTTTTTGATCCCAAGGCGGTAAATCCTCATGGAGCTCTCTCGCCTGGGGAGGACGAAAAGAAATGTCAGACACTTACTGACTAAAACCCACCCCGATGTCCCGTCTCACACGTGGGAACAAACTTTCCATGATCAGATCTCGCCTCGCCTCTCTTTTAAACGATGTCTTCTGTTCCACTCAGAATATCAAAATCGATATGTCGGAGTAAAAGGACTTATAATGAAAAAGGAGTTTTTGTATTGTAACTTTCGTGACACATACTAACTAAATTATTATGTTTTCGGCTTACTCACGTAATAATTTGACGAGGAACTCGACTAGTTTCAAGCCATACTAGAGGCTCATATTCATGAGCAGCATTTTGCGACCCGCTACACGGCGTGAGTAAGCCGAAAACATAATAATTTATGAGGAGTTTTTGGTAATAAATTAGGAACACTAACATGGTTCGTGTTCCTAATTTATTAAACATGGTTTCGTAAACACTACAAAATCAATCAAATTAAAATACTAACCAATCAATGAATTTGTATTAATTAAAAGTTTATACAAAGAGTATTTACCAATTACTTAAAACACGTTATATTCGGCTACATTATTGAAATGCCTACTCAATATTTGTATACACGACTACACATTGATAAAAACTAGTATAAACTGACCGTTGAATGTAGAGAATAATCATACAAAGAGAGACCAAGATAAACTGGATGTGTATAGCTTCAAGTGTAATGAACACAATATCCCCTAACATGAGGTTAATAACTAAACATCGATTTATGATGAAAAGGCTTTTCATTATGAAAATGTTCTGTATTTATCTATCTAGCTTTTGTTCCTATGTATTCCCATAAAGGAACAATACAATTTATGTTATTTGATATAGGTAAGGAACAATATAATAACAATAAATTTTGGTACAATATTATACTACACGTCGGAAAGTTTATTAGTACGGGACTTCGATTAACTACAAAACGAAGGAATAAAAATAAAGATGGCGCGCTTCAACAGTTAATTCTGACGTCATGTCCGTCGAAGAGGAGGGGAGATTGATTGACGTTGAACATTGCACCAGCACTTACTCGCGTCTTGAACTCCGAGCGAATAACTACTTACGGTACTACGAATAGGGTCAGTCGATTATTGTACCACACTACCCTTCCACATACATAAATGGGAAGAGACTATACATTTGGCCTGCCAGCCTCGTTGGCCGAGTAGTCGTAAGTGCGACTGCCGGGCGAGGGGTCTCGAGTTCGATTCCCAGGTCGGGCAAAGTACTACTTTTAAGGGTTTTAAGAAATTCTCAGTAGTAGCACGGAGTCTAGAAGCGTGAGGTTATAGGTATTATGTTAGATTATACATTTGACAGAGACTGCTCAACAGCGCTCTTCGATACACCTAAATCTTCTAAACTGCCTGTCTGTCTGTAAGCGTAAAATATAGCAAACCGACTTCATATAAAGAAGGAAAGTAGTAAAGTAAGAATATTCAAATATCCTTGATAATAATTTCAATGGTATTTCACTCTATTTATGGCCCTAAATTAGTTTACTTTATTTTATTTTATTGTGTTCATGCTTCTGCACGAATAGGCTAGCTCGACCAGAGTGATATCACGGCCTCACAGGAAACCGACGTGGTACACCGTACAACGCTTGCGTTGTATTTCCTCGTGTGAGTGAGGTTGCTGGAGGCCAAATTACCCCTCTACCTTATCCTCCCTAATCCCCGAATGCCCAACAATCTTCAAATTCCTGATTCTTAAAAGGCCGGTAACGTACTTGTAACTCCTCCGGTCACCGTAAGCACGGGCCTGCGGACGGCGAGCATGGGTGGCTCGGCCTGAGCGTATGGCGCGTCGCGTTCCGCGTGCGCCTCAAAGAGTCATCAGACCACCATGGATGGAGTCCAATAAGGCTGATGCCGATTCAGAGTCGCGGAGAACCTAACGGGTTACCGGGGCGGCTCGAAGTGAATGAGAAGGAACGGAGTGGTTTTTAGTCAGTAAGAGTCTGACACTCTATTACGCCTCACTCAGGCGGGAGAAGTCATTCGATGATTTAAAAAATAACCACTTTTAACACCTCTGGTGTCCATGAGCGACACCGATTGCTTACCATCAGGTGATCCGTATGCTCGTTTATCGGCTTATTCCAGACAATAATATTAATCTTTATCTACGTAGCTATCTTTTTAGACAACTAATTTTATATACACTTCATCTATTAATTATTATATTACACAAAACTCTTCATTTAATTACATACCAACTACAAGTACTTATCATATTACATAATGATTATATTCTGGGCCAAATATTCACCAAATCTGCCAACGGAATGTAGTTCCATAGTTAATACATAGTTGTGGTATTTGTAACCTATTTTAATTAGCTCTAAACCAGTGGTTCCCAACCTTTTCCTGATCAAGTACCACTTTTATATAATTTTTGTTAATTTAGAACCACTATTAGTTAATATAACTTATTTCGTGTGCATCCAAATTACGATATTCTCAGTCATTTATAAGAATTGTAACTTATGGATAATTGAAATCAGTTGAACTTCCTAGTTGTTAGTTTTGACATTAACATAAGTTTAATTCCAGCTCCGTGGTATTTATTGAACAGAGATGTCTCGATGTGTATTTTTAGAACCTTTTCAAAGATATTCCATATTATATTCTTATTTAATGCAATGTGTATGTATCTATAATGTGTGTGAACTGTAATCTTGCAATTGCATTTTTAGGCACAAATGTTTAACTAATTGAGCTAAAACTTTGTATAGGGAGAAGATTCTTAGCGTCAGACGACACCTAATACCGGACACTTGTATTATCTCGATAACTAACACCGCGAGCGATTCAATTTTTAGAGCGATTGCAGTTGCTTCGTTAGGAATTGCTGCAACTCCATTGAACGAATGAAAAACTGCTCACTCTACGTTCTAGCTGACCCGCACCCACTTCGTTGGTTTAACTAATTGAGCTAAAACTTTGTATAGGGAGAAGATTCTTAGCGTCGGACGACACCTAATACCGGACACTTATATTATCTCTATAACTAACAACGCGAGCGATTCAATTTTTAGGGGGACGTCTCCCAGTGGGAGCCAGTAAAAATTGAATCGCTCGTATTATCAGTTATCGAGATAATGTTATGAGATATGTGCCGTCCGGCGTTACGGAACGTCCCCCTACACATTTAGGTTGCACGACCGTAAATCTTAGCAGTTCAATTCAAATGATCTAAAAGCTTGTCGAGAGATATCTAAGAATCTCGTAAAATTATTTTATTTCGTCTTTTTCGGACCAATAGTGGTTCATGGACCACCGATTGGGAACCACTGGCCTAGACTATGTAGCTCTGTTTATGTTTCAATGTACTTACATAGTACATGGACCTAATTTATCTTGAAAGCCTTCAGGCGACATGCCTCCGTATTGAGAAGAACGGTATGAACAATTTAATTTAATATTTTTGTAACATTCTTTAAGAATCATTTTACGATAGCAGAAAAATGTTGAGTATTTAATACGAGTTTTCATGAGTTTATTTCAGTATGCTGATTTTTTTTATTATATTCGATTTTAATGTTTCGTTTAATGTTTGCTAATTTGTATACCGTTTTGGCTGTCATATGTTCATTTATTTAACTTCTTGGCTAACATTATATTACACATTTGACTAAGTATATATGAGTACCTAACGTCACAGTTAAGTAACGATTTAGTATACTCACTTTTAATCAATTACGTCAGAAATTATCAAATACTAGAATACATTTTAAAGTATAATAAATTTTACAAAGCAGTAGTGTAGTGAATTCCAAAACTCTTTCCGTTAACCATTTTCTAAACAGAGACATCGAAGTTCTAGTGTAGTGCTCTTAGT